GTCTGTATTTTTGCTTTTTTCCCCCTTTTTTTTCCCTTCGTGCAGTACAAATGCTTTTCAGGAACTCTGGTGACAAGAGAATCAATCAAGCGGTAAGACTGCCAAAAGTCAGTCCGCAATTGCTCTTTCTGGTCGCCAAGGTGATTTGAAGCACATTTTAGTCACGGTCGGTGATTTTTGTTATACTCCTGTTGTTCGTTTGCAACGGGTGCGTGGGAATCAGTCATGGGTGAAAAGCCAAGAGTAATAGCTGGTGCTGGAATGAACATACATGTACATGTATGAATATTTGACTATTATGCTAAGCAGTCTGATGCCAACTCTTTTGTGTAGTTGGAAGTTCTTTGCTCGCTGTCCTGAGCACTGTTCTCCGATTCTCGTCATGTAAAATCTTTCTTCACAAGCTGCACGCATCGCGAAATGTTCCTGAATACAACTTCTGCTGATCATGTAGGCCTGCATGTTGCTGATACATGTCACACTCACAACCTAGTCAGGACCAGGCAAAGGTGCAGCTATGTCAATCATGACAGGAATGGACCAGTCCAACTCCCCAAGCGACAATGTACAGCCCTCAATGGAAGGTCATGTGCAATGCATTCATCAGGTTTTCCGTCACCTTGGAAAAACTTTAAATATGCGGACGACAAAATTCAATTGCACCAGTAATGCAGTCCATATGGTTCCATTTTTTTTGTCACTGCATAACTACCGGTTCATGGGTACAGTGTACATGTACCGGTAGAAACACTTGTTCATTATCATAAATATGAATTTTTCACTCTTTTCGTCCCGTAAAAATATTTTACAGCCTACATAAATGCAAAAATTCCACACGCAGATTAACTAACTGCAGGTAAATGTGCAGTAAACATGTACCGGTACATCCACCATCCAACCATTATTCCTCAGATGTGTGCCGACAATTGATGCAAATTAAACTACATGTAGTCCTTCATTAAAAATGCAAGTACATGTACATACACGTACATGATACATGTACGACGATCCACTTGGTATGGGGGTGTAATCTGTCCTTAGTAACTGTACAGGTACATGTAGTAGCCAGATGACAAATCTCCGAGTGTCCTTTCCACTAGGACTAGACAGCCGGAAAGCAAGAGTGCATTACGTCACCCTTGACCCTTCCCTGCATGTCACATGATACCAGTGACATAGTGATACTACATGTAGTTGTGGAGTTGTCCTCCAGACGCATAGGAATTCACTTCCATGATTCATCACTTGGCTGAGGTAGCAAGACTGACTGTGATCTTGCCTTGGCTGTCTCTCCATCTCTCCCCCTTGCTGGTTCCTCCAGCAGACTCCTGATTGTTTTGTTGCTTTGTCAAGTTCAAAGGCTCCCTCCCTTCCACCTTTGCTTGTGGTCAGATTGTGGCTGGCCTTGCACCTAAGTGATCTGCTTGTGTAGGTTGACCCATTTCTCTTTGCCGTAGGTCCTAAAGAAAAGGATGAGTTATCCTTGCTCCTCGGTTGAGTACAGTGGGCAATCATTATCCAGAAGTCCATCCTGCAGCTTCCATTAATGATGCCAAAGAAAAGAAAATGTGTCTTTCCAGTAACGTGAATGCCTCCAATGATCACCTTCTTTTTCCTTCTAATTTCACTAATCCTTTATCTCAAGACATTTGTTTTTGGCTAGGGACCATTGGAAACGAAACAAATTTATTGAAATTCGTATCAATTCTTTTAACCCTAACAGTTCTGAATAAAATTTGGCTAACAGTACTCAGTACTACAAAATGCTAAGCAGTAGTCTGAGCCTGAAGGACCTAGCGCTACAGATTACTACTTCTGGCTAGGTTACCCTCCATTTTTACTTGTACAGAGAACAATAAAGCCATGCATTCATAATGCCATAGCACTGTGTGGCACATTGTCTTTCTATTGTGTTTTATGGCTTCAGAGAACAATAAGATTATGTCTTCTTACAAGCGACAGCACTGAATACCACATTTTACTCCTAAGTATTCAGGGCTGTTAGGGTTAAACTTTCAAGGGACTTCAAGCCCTGAGTCAAAACTGTCAAGTAAAGGTTGAAGCTGGGTTCTAAACGTACAATGTTACATGTACCTTCCTATTCAAATCCCGCACAAATCCTCTGCAACCTATGCCAAGGATTTCTAGAATCACACAGAAAAAAAAGTTTATTAGTCATAAGGATGCTGGGCCACGTCTCAGCTGTGAACATTTGAAGCGTTTATCGGCGGCTTTCTGAAAATATAGTGCGTGACGTGCAGACAGGCGCTGTCATGGAAGGAGTGGACGCACGATCACTTCAGGGGTCACTTCAGCTGCTGCTGATTCTGTTAATGGTTTGGGAAATCACTACGCACTGACAAGCGCAGTAAATTAAAAAAAAGGCCGACCACCTCACAGAAACTGTGACAACTGGTTTCATCACAACCCGAGGTTTAAATGCTCTTCCATTCCACAGTACATCAAAGACATTTATGATTGCCATTTGAAAATCCCTAGACTCCTGGGTACAATTAAAAATAGGATGGGAAAGCTGAAAGGAAATTCAATGACATTCCACTTTTCAAACACAGATGAACATTAGTACATCAGTACTAATGCAGATACCGGTAGTTCAAGTTAATTTTAAGTTGTAATTTTAAGGTATTCAACTTTTCTTTTGACGCTGTTTCATTGGGTGTTGCTGCATTTGAATATTGTGTTATTTCACCATCCAAAGAGCCTTACACATGTGTTGTACACCGTGTGCTTCAGAAATCACCATGGGGATCACTACATCCCTGAAAGGAATGTACAGTTTAGTGGAAGTTGCACAACAGGTGGAACATATGTAAACATCTTAAATTGACTGACACTTCGAACATGTCCACAAAGTCAATTACTCAAAAATCTGGGCTTCTATAGCAAACTAAGAATCCAAGCCTCACACCTGCATGGATCTCTCCTCGCTCTGAATACAATGGTTCTAAAGGTTCCCGAAGCACCCCCCCTCCCCACAAAGTCCAAGTTTCACACGCTACCAGCTCCCCTAGGAACAGTGCAGGTTCAACAATGAGACAGGTTCATGTATATACATGTACACACAAGCACTTTTTACTTGGAGGTTAGCCAAACAAATCCGGGCGGTTACAATGGGTGCTTGCATGCAGCAGCTTGCATTCAGAGAACTGAACTGACGGTGAATCTGCATACAATTGAATGGGACAACTGGAAAACAGTGTAACTTTAATACTGGATGATTATCTCATTTGTCACAAAATCAGAAATTATAAGATTTAAAGTTCATAAAAGTGCTGTAAGCTGCAGTGTACATGTATAGTAATGGTGAAAATATGCCAGGATCTGATGACATGTACCAATGTATGTACGTGTACATACATGTACATACATGTACATGTACCGGCACTGGGTACTGCAATTTGTTCAAACTCTCCAAGGCAATGAGCAAGGAAGCTTCAAAAATATTCTAGGTTTGTCCACTGTAAATTAAGAACTGAAATCATTGGAAAATTCTCACACTTTCAAGGGGCATCAGGCCATGTAGTTAGGGCTGAAGTAAGCAAGCACTTTTGATTTGGTTTTGCCTTTTTAAAAACAAAAAACAAACAAAAACAGCAATTCTGTCCACTTACATGTAGATTACATTTGTATAATCATCATTTCCCATTAGCAGTGCACCAAGTTCTTCGAATGTGGTGTAACACCTGGGGTTGGCTGATAGAATGCCAGTATACATGTACGTGTAGTGTGTGAAATCAGGCCCACAAAGTGGTCAGACAAAACAGGCTGGATCGGTCAGTTTCATTCTACTTCCAAGGTCAATGGAGAACACACCCTCACTCTCACAAGTGTCATAAGAGCAAAAACTAGAACTAAAACACCAACCGGGTTTCACTTTTTGGACTTTGCTTTTACACTTCCTTTGAACGTTTTGTCCGACCATATCAGTTTTGATTAGACAAATAACAAAAGTGGTAAGAAAGCAGCCGACGCCTGACTGCACCGGTACTTTCACCCCTGTCTGGACAATCTCTTTGTACTGGTATGACTATCATCGGCTCAAGATCAGAATTGAAGATGACCAACAGAGATACAAGTTTGCCACTGCAAAATGTCAAATTGTTTCATGTTTGGTGGGAGACTCTTTCTGAGAGGGCGATTACACCCAGACGAACTGTGGTACACGTATACATCATTTCCAGAACTGATCCATGTTATGCCCTAACTATAGCATCAGTCCAACTATAATAAGCCATTTGCGAGTTAAATTTGAATAAAATCTGGTACACTGAGTTCTTTAAATTCACGTGAACATAACAACTTGAATTCTCCATACTAAAACCACTGTTGCTATACCTCGCGATTCAGGGAAAGCTTTTGCTTAGTTACATAAGAGACACCTTGCAACAATACACTGTTCTCAATGGATAAGAACGGCACAAAGGAACCAGTCCATTCAGAGATGGTGGTCGCTATGCAAAAGCTTGGCCCCGAATCACGAGGTATAGCAACAGAGTCTTTAGTCTGGGGAATTCAAATTGTTATGTTTCTGAGCAATCAGATAACACAGTGTACCAGATTTTATTCAAATTTAACTCTCAAGTGGCTTATTGAGCCAGCCCAACTATAGCAGAGAATGACAGGTGTTCAGTGTGTGCATGTGACATTGTTCAATTATTCACTCATTCCTCCATTGTGTGTCCATTCAAGAAAAAACTAATTAATGGCAGAAAACCAAACGTTATCGCTTACAAATTTCAAAGAAACCAAATTATTTGTTAATTATCGGCAGATTTGTCAGTCATGCATGCGAGCCTGCCACACACTACGTACGCATGTCCATCGTTCGTAGAAAAACTTTGAGACGGACATCATTTTCTGTGAACACACAGCAGCACGCTAGGCTGGGCATGGTCATTCCGATACACGTAGTCGTACGTGTACATGTACATGTACATGCAGTCGAAGCGTGAGCTTTGGTCGAGTCTTACCTAACTTACCTGAACAATTCACCCCACTTAGGGCAATTAATACGACCAGAAGGGCCCCACCTGCCCATCTACTCCTTCGTAACATCTCAGTATTTTCCTCAGCTCCTCTTGGTTCTTGTTTTTTTCAACGAAATATTCACCATAGAATTATATATCCAACCAGGCCCGTTCGTCGCGTTACGCAGAAATATGGCCGCACGTCGCTGTCATGCAGTGCAGGAAAGTCGGTCTCAAAAATAGACACAAAATAAGGTGACGTTATGGGAGAGCCCATTCAATCTGAAGGTGTGATGGTAACTCGAAGGGATTTCATAATGTACTTTGTGTTTAGTATCTCGTTTCGAATGAGTACATTACCACCAAGTGATAAACAACAACTATACATTCAGTAAACAATTCAGAGGAATGTGGATAATTTAGTTGTTGTTTCATATAATCTTATCTGATTCCTTGCATTTTCTCCACACTAATGTTCGGGCATCATCTTCTATTCGATCTTACCTGTTAGTGGTTGACCTTTAGTATTGATTAGCTTTTCCTCATTGTCATTTCCTTTACAACCTAGTGACAATTTGACGTAAGCTCAGTTTCACTCCTTTCTGGTCAAAGCAGACGTGACAACGGAAGAAAAGCTTGCCATGCCATTAATGTACCAAACAGAAAGAAAGTGCAAGAATGATTTGTCTTTTGAACAGCGGAATGCTATTTATGCGTCATTATTATTATAACCTGCAGAGGGAGTAAGTGAGAAAACAGTAAGATCATTTAAGTGAAACTGAAGTACACCTGTTCAATGTTCTTTTGATAGCAAATTTATTTTGATTGATTTGGGGGGGAATTATGATTTTGAAATTATGTCAACTGTCACAACTCGGGTTGCGTAAAGTTAAGCCTTTGACTCTGACGTTTTCATCGTTCTGTTTCATCAGTCAACTGTGCAGTTCGATCCACAATGGAGCGCACATCATAATGACCTCACGCATATTACCGAAATAACAATAAACTTGAACGAGAAGATCCGCTTATGACGTCATCAAAAGAATTCTGTGAGAAGCTTCGGTTTTACTGCAAAGATATGAGGCGCCGTACTTTAACTGAAAAAAAAATGTGGGGGGGGGGATCGTTTGGATCATGACAGACAATACTGAATCCGTTTTAGTCGAAAATCGTTTGAATAAGAAATCCTTCCGTTTGATATTTGACAGGAGAACCACTGTTAATCCAGAGATGATATTAACTACATAAAGCTACCCCATCACCAACAGTTGTGGTCCATTTCTTCCTATAAAGAAAAAAAAAGGTTTCCGCAGGGGTTCAGTTTTTAACCAACGTTGCATTGGCACATTTTCATGTTTTTGTATGGGTTTGTTTTCATTTGTTACTGCTATCATTTTTGGATCTATAGATGGTGAACATACCATCGTGTCACTTTTCAGTTTAATACGATCAAATAAAGCAACAACAAATTCAAATGCATGTTATGGACTTCTTTCTAGGCAGTGATTTTTCTTTCACATGCAGCGTTCCATTGTAAGCGTCTGTTTTTCCTGTGCCACCTTCAACACAGCAGGTTAAACCCGAGCAAGGCCACACACCATTATAATAGCAAACCAACCATGAATCTTTTTGTGATGTTTTTTGTTGTCCTTCGATAAAATTATAAGCTCTAATGAAGCGTTTAAAGCACCAAAACGTGCTCACTGTATGCAAATGGTCCGATTCCAATCCCGGTACTCTCGGACAAAATTTTTCGTTGATGTTTCAAAGGAACTGAATTCCTGGGTTTGAAAATCATGTTTAAATTCGTTTACGTGGCGTCAATTTATCCGCATTGAATTACTGAGCCTCAAAACGGTGCCTACCGAATTACCATTGGAAAAGGAATGGTAGAAATGCAAAGCTGTAAGTTATTTGCAAGTAAGTTCTCGATGCGGTAACCTGAAACAACCCTTGCGCTTTCTCCTTGAATGTCAATGCTGATGATTGTTTCTGACATTGAAAGGGTATCGACCAATTTAGACTCGGATGCCATTGGTGCTCTGTTTTTTGTTTTGTTTTGTTTTGTTTTTTTGCACGGGCTAAACGTCCCTAATTGGCTGATCAATATGTAATGTGATTGGCTAATTCTCTTATGTGGGGCGTTCCAGACACCTTGGCGTTGAGTAAATGAAATTGGAGCGGGCTAAGAAAGTCACGACGATTTGGGAGTGATGCAGAAAATAGGGGATGGATGTGGAGACGACCATGACTTAGAGTGCGTTAATATGACAACAAGGAAGATGGATCATGATGTTTATTCGAAGAGAGAGGGTGATGAAGGTGATCGTACCCAGGTGATAATAGTAACCTTGGATTGGGGTAATTATACAGTAGTTGTGAAAATGGTAACGAGGTGATGCAGATGACGTTGGACATAAAGCTGATGATGGTAACCATGGTAATGGTTATGACAAAAACAGAATGATATCAGTGTGTTGTTATTGAGTGACGACTGCATTAGCATTGCTTGTAAGATCATACGCACTATGCCGTTTACTCAAGGCGATAAGAGCGATAACGATGGTGGCTATAAAGCTGCTGAGCATGTAAAGATTAAAGGCACATGAGAAACTGAGGATGAAACCGGGTGAAGAAGATGTAGGAGGAAGGCGATGACAGGATGTGGCGGATCACCTGAAGAGGATGGGGATGACGTGCAGGGGAAACATGGCCGGCGGGAATACGGATGGCCGCGATGACTGAAGGGATGAGGAATAGGAGATGAAAGGGATGAATGAAACTGTGATGATCACCTGGAGGAGATGTTTCGGTGAGGGTAATGCGATAGGAAGGAAAGGACGAACAAGTGGTGATAATGAACTGAGAAACGAGACCGTAGACAAGATGGAATACAATGTTGATGTTGAATCCCCAAGGAATTAGGCATTTTGGGCGAATGTTTAGCAAAGATATTTTATCGAAACGATCGAGTCCGCTGAAACCATCGTCTCTAATACCGTAACATCGACACGTTTATCACGAATTCACAGAATTTTGCTCTGACCAAAACGTGGAAAGGGTGACGGTATTATTTAATATTTCCAATCGGAGTTCGCCTGTATAGGGGAAGGAGACGACAATCGAGGAGTCTCCAGTTAATTAGCTTAGGGATGCGGCATATCCCAGAGCAGTGGGGCTGCCTTTTTGTGTGTTTGCGGAGCCGGTAAACTGATTCGATTAGGTCAAGTTGATTGCGTTCTCCTGACGCACAAAAACATCTCGCTGGCCGTTTGATGAAGCGTGATCAACAGATGGCGCTATTGAGCTAATAACATGGCATACAACTCCCATACTACGTGTACAAATCTGGGAAGGTAGAAGTTATCAACAATAATGATTTTGGCCTTTTCCAGTTAAAAGGCAACATTGGGAATGGGTATTGGACAAATGATCTTAGGTTGAATCTCATGTGGTTTGGGGTATAAATTGAAATTAGTACTATTTTAAAAAGTGGCACAGCAACTAAACTGAATCGTCATAATGGATTTGACATTTTAAAAATCTTTTCAACAACGAATACTAAAATTGCACAAAAGTTTTATCACTGAAACCTAAGTTTTCCGTCTTATACGTCTTCTAAACAGAAGTATTTATTTCCAAACAAAGCACTTGCAAGAAAAAGGAAATTTCAAATTGATAAAATCTCAAAGTGATTTTAAATCATTTGAAAGCAATGTAAAAGAGCTTCCAGTTTCAAAAACCCCATGTGACAATAAAAAAAATGCAAGTGAAATGATGTGCAGTACTGCTGTTACTGTTCATATATTACAGTTTATAAATATTGCCATTTTCCTTTGGTGCATTACATTTTCAATCCAATAATGCAGAATTTCCTCTGGAAATCCAAATGGGTAACAAAACTGGAGATCACAAAGTTGAAACCTAAGAAAAAAGACATTTTAAATACAGTATTTTAAAATCTTAACACATTCCCATAAAAAGACACAATGCTACTTCAAAGTTTTTCAAATTTGAAGTTTGCGTGATGTTAAATCAAATGAAAGATTTACAAACATCACTGACAGTACGGGATTGAATTTTTATGAGTGATTAACATACATTGGATTAACACACACCATGGTTGTCAAACACAATTATGGAAAAAAGTCCTTAACGAATATTGCTGTGTATGCTGATTAACACTCAAAATATATAAATCAAAACAGCACAACAGTTTTGGGCAAAATGTCCCCGAGCACCTAAGACAGTAGCAACAAACAACAAATCCTAATGTACGAAGTGCAAAAAAGGCAGGGCTAATCTACTCCCTCAAGTAACTACTTACTTCTTTAGCAGAACGAAACTTACTTGAGAAGTTAGACGACCGAGCAGAAGTTGGTCAATTGATTTCGAATGACCTAGGCCTTTTACTTTTTTTCTGAAGTTGCATGGAACTCAATAAGCGCAAAAGAAAGAAAGAAAACCAAACTAAAAAGGAAAATATTGAAAGAAAAGTTAGGTATGTATAATCAATCGTCAAATTTTGCAACAGTGGCTGAAACAAAACCACAAATAGATGGGGGTGTATAGATGGGCTGAATAATGCGACATAATCTGTGGCAGGTGTCTTATGGGTTCTTTGCAAAGGTAGTTATGAAAGAAATCATTTGAAATGTAATCTACAATCCTGGACAAACTTGTTGGGACAGGTGTCACTATCCATACTCTTTCCAGGTCCGTCGCTCCCACAGTAAATGTTTCCTCTCAAGCTGGAGCGCAGACCACGCGTTGAGACCTAACATTGAGAGGGGACCCGGGGGGGGTCCACCGAGATTTTACCAGGATTGTAGATCAAGAAACAGGCACACAAATGAACATAAATTGGACAACTGACAACCAGCAAGGACAGAAAAAGAAGAGTTGCTAACAGTTCCAATCGAAGTAAATCTTCAGTTTCTATTTGAGGACTCTTTAACTCGCCACTTAATTTTGTTTGTCAGCAGAAAGGCAGCTCAAGGCGAAACCTGGCAAATTGATCAGGGAAGGAGGTCCAACGGCAGTGAGTAGGAGGGCCAAATGTTGATCCCCTCCCCCCGAAAAGCTTGGCAGAGGTTCCTCTTGCTAAGACCTGTCTTCCAGGCCCACAGCAGGGTTTGTCAATTTGATCACTGGCTCGCCTGCTGTACTTGGGAACCCACAACTTGAAGGAGCTTTTCGCTGGGGCCTGTTGGTCAGAAAAATGATGGCAAAAGTAAAACAAAGCTCGAAGAAATGATACACAAAATCAGTGAAATAATGGGAAATATAATGCGACGTTCCAACACCACAGTAAAGGATTCTGACGATCATCTACAACGACACTAACATACATGTACATTTTAGTGCACATTTGCTGTTTGAGAAAACTTTTAACTTACCCATAGTTCCTGTGACCTTTTCAAATTCATTGAGGGCCTCACTGGAATTACTGGCCAAAAATTCTGACTCCGCTGTTGTCAACTGCAAAAGGTGAGAGAGAACACATGGGCAGCAGGGTGAATACAATAATCTTGGAACAACTGAAATGCCAAGTGGCTTGCTCAACCTGCATTTTTGATTTTTCGTTTTCCTGGTCATTTCGCAAAATGGCTGACGGTAGATCCATACGCCGTCCTCCAACCAATGCAATCTTTCAAATTTCATTTTGATGTAAATTCAGAATCGGCACTGTATTTCTGTGGGATTTGAGGAATTTGAGCCGGCATCTTTCAAGGATGCATGAGTGTGCCTCTGTTGAGTTTTTGTTTTCAGTTTTGCCTCACTTTTTCTCCGAGCTTTCTGAGGGCTGACAGGATCTCCACCTTCTGTTGTGTGTAGCTGTCGTGGGAGAGTTTCTGCACTTTGCCATCTCTTTCAACCTGGCAGCCAAATAAAAAAACCGACAAATTTCTGTTAACTGTGTCTCAACTACAGACTGTTGCAAACTGTACAGCACCACAAGATTATCCATGGACTGGTTAGTTCCCCTGAGGCAAAGCCAAGAATACTCTAGCACCAATCTGAATCAAGTCCTCAAGATATGTACTGGAATTTGGTGACTTGATGGGGACGTTGAATTTGGCAGCGGCTGCATTTCATGGCTCTCCTTCATCAAGGAATTCTGGCCAAATGATTGCCATTTTTGTGCTTATGGAAGTAGCATCTACAGAACACTTCTGCACTAACCCAGAAGGCATAGGATGCTAACTTACACGATGAAAGCATGTAAGCACAGAAACCAAAAGGACTCGATCACTGTGAAACCCTCCAGCGGCTTTCGCACTGAGCTGCAGAAGAGTCACCTCCAGTCACCACTGCCTCGAGTCATTCTGAGGGTGTTTAAATACTGTAACCTGAGAGCTTCGATTGAACTTTATGACCCAAAATAGAATGATGTGATGAGGAAGCCGGACGTCGTGCGGACAGGTGGCTTTGATTTCCCCCCCAGGTGGCTTTGTTACCTCTGCTAGTCTTTGGCGCAGTTGTCCCGGTTGTTTCTTGGCAAAGAGCCTGATGACCTCCGGCGTCTTGAAAGCCTGGCTGATTGCAGCCTGGATTGCCTTCACGCACAAAAGGGAGAGATCAAATCAAACAACGATGTGAAAGACGTTGAGACCGCTGATCTCCCGAGGCCAGTCTGATAGGAGCCTTCCTCGATCTCCTCAGATCTAGCTCAGCACACAGTGTGGACACTGTAATGGCATTATTGTACATTCTTAATACCTTAACCGGAGATGTCGAATTCTGTGTCGAGTGAGTGTGGATGAGCTGTACAGTGGAGAATCCACACATCTATGCTACTGCAAAAGCTGAACATTTGGAAGTATCTGGCGATGTCAGGGTTAACAACATAACAAAACTTAAAAGTTTGACTGAAACTACCTTCATCCACTGTTTTATAACACAACAAACAACAACAAACAAAAACTAGTTAATTTTTCCAAAGGAACCATGCTGCACCGGAATTCCCAAAATCTGTCAGCCACATGTGCAACATTTTCAAGCCAGTGTCCACTCCAAGATATCACATTTGTAGCCGGCATTTTCCAGCTTATTACCAGTACCTTCTGCGTTGTCGTTGCAAATTTTATTCCAGCTCAGTCCTAAGCATATGTTTGGTAAGCCAGCGGCTGGTGGGATGGCGTTGTGGCTGGCTAAAGCTACTTACTATCTGCATGCCGTTAAGCTCATCCACAAGAGTCATATTGCCGGCCATCATCTTGGTGAGCGACTCCTTGAAGTCTTGCAGCTGCTCTAAGGTGTCTTGCTTCGTCTCCTCGTACTCCTCGTCATCCATTTCCTCTCTGGAAGTACAAAAAAGGGGGCAAACACGGATAACAACTACGGGGAGCAGTATAGATGATTTCATGTATAATTTGAGCGTGAATTTATGCATGGTGGAATATCAACGATGAGAGGTCTAGCCCACGACCTTGACACAATGCGTCCTTCATAATCAGCCATACATTTTTTTTGCCTTTCAGCCTCAATCCTTCAAACCATTCAGAAGATATTGAAGAATTGCAGATGATTAGGGTTAGCACAATGTTAGTCGGTATCTGATAGAGTCAGGGTAGGATTTATACCTGGCTTCTTCCAGATCTGACAGCTGGGCCATTAGTCGATCCAACTGCTCCTCCAAGTTCTGCTTCAACTTTGTCGTCTCTGATTGTCCCCGAGATGCCATCTTTGATTTGAAGTTAAGTGTCTATGCTATGTCGACTTCCTCTTGTTCACTGAAAAGGTACGGATTCCTCATTTCATGACAGGGCTACAAAAGCCAACAACATGCTTGATGATGTATAGACAGGGCCCAGTTGGAAATTAGTTCTTGACTATCCTACGTCCCTTGGGAAAAAGGCTCACTTGCAGAGTACCCCTCCATCCCGCATGATCAACCTCATAGCCAGGTACAAGTCAAAGTGTCACCCTCTTCTCAAGGGATTTTCACCTTGTACCCACATACCAGTCATTCCAGGGGTCGTTCTTTAGAGTGGTGGGCCTGGTGTATTCTGCAATTAGGCCTAGGCCTCTACCTACTCCAGGAAAAAAAAATCCTCAAACACTAAAAACCATGAATTAAAAAAACCTACGATTTGCCACTGTTTTAGTCCTTCTTCCATGGTCATGATGGTTGCACTGACTTGGAAGTAGGCCTAGCCCCCAAGTGGCAATATTGAATTTTGTCTTATTTCTGTCGCCAAGCATGCCAAGCACTTCAAGTTAGGCGCAGCAGCTAGCAGCCCAGTCCCAGTTTCATATTTTGTGTAAAGAAAAGCTCACCTTTCACAAGTGTCAGCTGTGACTGCTATGGTCATTCCTTCACAAACGAATGCCCAAAGCCTCGACTGTTAGATTAGAAGAAGGAAATAACGACCAGAAAAACTGATAACAACCCAACATGACCAAGGAAAAGACATTCCACTCCACAACCCTGCTGTCAGTAGAACTCTCCACGAACCCCGACTCCCGACAATGAATATCCGGAACCATTTCGTGCCCGGGTCCGGGTACCCGACTAGCTTCTCCAGCGCTAACATAGCGCCCTCATGCATTGGGAACCTTGTAAAATGAACTCAAGCGCGCATTTAAAAATATCATGGCTTTTTTCCCAGCCAGCACATTACTTTTTAACACCACAAAACAAACGGTTATAAATAAGGTTATTGACGAAATACAAACAAAGCAAAAAACACTCAAAAGAGATTTCCAAACATGATTTTATTCAAATGGCATATTGAGCTGTAATCATGTTCCTTTTTTGTGCATTTCAGCTTATGCTAGCACTTAATTCTTAGTAAAAATTGGGCAACGATTCCGAACTTTCAGATTTAAATTAGACACAATCTGAACACCTGTTAAATGCAAAGCTATATGATTTGTAGAGTGATGGCAAAGTTTCGAAATTAAATCAAAAGAATGATGTCTGAGGACAGATTTCTTTTTAAACCAGACCAAATCTGTACTGAATAGCTTAGCGTGGAATAACTAGAGTTGGAAAGTCAAATTTTCATTGTATTTGCTAACACACTCGCTCGCTCCTTAAAGCTACACTTAAAGGAAACTGGTACTATATTTAAATCAACTTTTTCACTTAGTCTTATTTCAATTTAAGAAAAAAGAACACATATCATGACTGTACTTAAAAAGACCTTTAAAATGTAGTCAGATTAAATCTATTCACAAATTACACTTTCTCCAAACTGTCTTAACTAAGCCTGGCTGTACTGTTTTTATTTCATAAATTCTCTAAGTTAAGCAAACACCAACTTCTGATTTATTACAAGTTCTCACCAGATTCTAATATGAGTAAATCACTGACAAGTATTACACATGTGACAGCACTTTTAAAATGCAACGTTTAATGTAACGGACCTTCATTTCATGGACTTTTAAGAGAATGTTAATATTCACTTCAAGCTTAGAGGTTAGTTCCTCTTGCTGGTGAGAGACTATTATAAGGCACATTCCAAGATGAAAAAACATCACACGAACTAAATGAACTAATCAATTCATTTTAACTCAGTTAAATGCGACGGTAATTTTATGAGTAACAGAAATATTGGTTTAATCTTTTGGGTGGATTCATTTGAATCATTTCGGACAGTTCTGAACATAGCAAAATTGAGGAAAATTTCTGTCAGGAGAATAGACGCTGATGACGTTCCGAAACGTAAGGCATGGAGAGCCTTATATTGAGATTGATGCACAGGTGGTGTACACTGCAAGAGGTGATCACAGCCAATTAGTGCTTCATTGTGCCAATAGAAAGGACTTAACTATGGTATTTCTGAATGATGATTAAATGTATGAATTAAAAAAAATAAATTTAAAATCAAATGAAACCTGATCAAAAAAATAAAAGTAACAAACTATGAAAAGTGTTTAAGCAAATGAAAATTTTAACCTCCAACAAAATCGTGAGCCAATAAAAAACAAACAAAAGCTAGTTTTGATCAACTCAAAGTTAATCTAATTACAAGGGAAATTACATTTCCATGACAGGAAATTGAGTCTTTAAAAATGGCCAAAACTATCCTTGTGTCTGAAGCTATCTACAGAGCAAAATATTTACAAAGATGTATCAACAGTTTCCAAATTTACAAGCAAATACAATGCATTAAAAAAAATTGAATGAACAGCTACACAGATGCAAACTTTTCTATAGAGGCTTTGCATGGTAGCCATCTTTCAAGGCAGTTCTTTTGTTCCAGAAGGACATCTCCTTTGTGCATACCCGGTGGGACAAAAAGCACTGGCCTGCAAGATGGCAGCCATGCAAACCCTCTATTGCCTTGTTTGTAGACTACAGTGACAAAACTGAAAATTGGAGCGTATCAAAGTATTGTTAAAGGATTACTATTGGCCATTCAACTCTTAATAATGAATAAAAAATGGGTCTTCCCCAAGAATGAAAAAAAATTTCTTTTTGTACCCGCAATTCATAAAAAGAGAACTCCTGTGCTTTGGAAGGAACTGTTTAGCACAACAGTTTTGGGGGTTTTGCATTACATGGAAAGATATATCCTGAAAACAAAAGCATTTTTGTGAAGACAAAGTCATCAAAAGAGACCACAGTTACAAAATATCTTGGGCATGAAAATATAACAACTCCATAAAAATAATCTAAACATCTCACTTCAAAACCACAGACCTGAAGTCCTCCAATGAGATCACTTGCAGTAGTCTAAATGAATTTCTAAATGCACTTCAAAGTTTCCGCTAAAAATTGTATATTTCACAGCAAAGCGCACCATAGCCATAAATGAGGTGATTTTTACTTGTTAATTCCAACACATACGAATAACAGGCACGCAAATCTTTGGTACAAGCATTTTTAATATGAAAACCACAGTACTTTCTAGCTTGGAATACTATTTTCCTTTGTAGGCTTTTTCCTTTTTCACTCTTTATATCCACTGTTTTACCTATCAAAACCGCGCGCACACCCTAAGGGTGCACATTAGGAAATCCTGAGTTCTAAGGTACCAACTGCCATGCACGAGTCTACGTCCTTTTCCAATATTTTTGGCATGGGGTGGACATCAAAGCCATTACTGCCTGCTAAAAGAAACTGCTGTGAAATGTGAATACAAACAAAACAACAGGAAGAAGTGCATTGGGCTTGGAATTACCGACTTGTAAATGCAAAGGGACTCTTCAGCCCGCCAATCCTAGAGATTCGCTGTCTACGAATACAGATCTGGAGAGGTTTCCTGTGCCTTTAAACTGAATTGCAAATTCTAACTTTTGGGAAAACCACCTTTTACTGAGAGTTGTTGTCATGTTATCAAAAAATTTTCAAAATTAAAAATAATGAAAAGCCACTTCTGATTACCTTCAGTTCAATTTTACATCCTGCATAAAAAAAAATTAAAATGGCATTTTAAGATACATCTATTAAAAACCAAACAAAAAGCCAAAGCTTGATGATACCTTGAAGAAATATGTTAGCCTTCTTTAACCCTTACTGCCAAGCATATTGTTTGGCTTACACTACACAGTACTACAAAATACTAAGTAATAGCCTGAGCCTGAAGGACCTAGCGCCACAGATTACTACTTCTGGCTAGGTTACTTCCATTGTTACTTGTACAGAGAACAATACAATGCATTCATACCGGTATTGCCACAGCACTGTATGGTACACTGTCTTATCTACTGTATGTTATGGCTTCACAGAACAATAAAGTCATGTCCTCTTACCAGGGACAGGACTGAATATGACATCGTACTATAACTAGTAATTTGTAGTATTATATAGGGTTGGGGTTAAAAGGTATCTCCAAGCAATGTAGGAACTACATGTACACCAATAACCTGAATGCAGGACCCACGACAGGTGTCTCTGAGGTACATTTGAGTACATTTGAGCCAAACCCTTAGCCATTGCTTAGGTCTGTTAGGAATTTTCCTGCACCCCAGGAAATCCTAGGAAATCTATGGCACAATCTTCCGATGGAAATCAATTGGAATCAGTGGTATTCAGTAGAAATCAAGCCCCAGTAGAATATGGTAGTACTCCCCTCAGCTTAACTATTTACAGCACCAAAGTTGCACCGAACAAATGGCATGCTTTTTTGAGAGTAAACCTAACCTCAAGAGTGTCTGAAAAGAATATTGAAATTTGCTGATTCCAGACTTTTAGATTTAAACTACATGAGTGTCAAGGAACCAGTGGAAGAGAGGTCTAACTGAGGCTTTGCATGGCAGCCATCTTATAGGACTTTTTTTTGTTCAAAAGGGTATGCACAAAGGCGGTTTCACTGTGGAATGAAGGAACTGCCCTACAAGATGGCTACCAAGCAAAGCTTATCTTTTTTTTTTGCGTTTACAAGCAAAGATTGAACACTGCCCTGTATCTTCCATGTAAGCACTCCCATCTCTTGGCAAACTGTAAAAGTTGTGAACTGCCCAAATCCAATGCTTAACTCTAACACTCTTAGCCTTGGTGGGGTTCGATAAAAGACTACAAACTTCTCAGTATGGTATACTTTCTTCTCTTTTCACTGGTAGTACGTCTTCTCGCTGTAATAGATCTCCTGCTTGTCAGGGGCAAAGACGAGCAGTATTCCGGACGCCACTTGGAGGAGGAATGCCCCCCAGCCCAGGCCGTAGCCCCAGGCCAGCTCCCAGTTGCTCCTGTTTAGCAGGGTCTCCTGCTGGACTGACATGACCGGGAAAAGGGCCAAGGTGACCAGCATGAAGACGGCTGCAAGGTGAAGAAAGCAGAAAGGGATGGAAAAAAGACTCAATTGAGGCTATGTTTCATTTCTTGGGGTCATACGAATGCTAGTCAATTCGTACGCATGCCAACTCGTACGCACCATTTCGTACGCCGACCAACTTGTACGCCTGCCAACTTGTATTCCTACTATTTTGTACATCAACCAACTCTTAAGCCGACCGACTAATACGCCAACCAACTCGTAAGCCAAACGAGTGATCAAACTAGGAATACATTCAGCTTTCTGCTCGGAGACGTTGAAAGTGGTATTCTTGCAAAAGATATTTGATGCGAGAGTTCCAGGTAGCTTTTCATCCAAAGCGACCTGGACTGCCAAAAAAAAAATACAGTGGGATTTTGAAGAACGTTTTATGTACTTAGGCAAATCTTCTTTCTTAATTATTATTTTGAGATATTTTTGGTGGTACATGTATTTCAACTGTCAGCTTTATTTCAGATTCATTGATTTCCTAGCCACAAACAGCTTCAATTTCTTCAATGCATCTCTTCTGAAAAAGTGTTGCTCTGAAAAGAGCCACTGAGGTTTGTGTTTGGGGTTCTCGATTTCACAAAGGTGTGGCAACTCAGCAGCTGGAAATAGAACTAAGCTGCAGATATCTTAGGTTGAGGAACTCATTATGTCGCGTAATGACTTCTGCTCTGTGAGATCGCTAAATGTGAGTTGGTCAGTGTACGAGTAGGTTTGCGTACGAGTTGGGTTGGTGTATGAGTTGACCAATCTGTGTACGAGTTGGTCAGTGTACAAGTTGGCACACATACAAGTTGACCTGTTACCGGGCATACAATAATTATATGATGCCTCACGAGCGAATTTGGGATAAGCGGTCTCAAGTGCTTTGACCCCAGGAGGCTACTCACAGTAGCAGAGATATTTGCCGAGTTTAGCAAATGCTCGTTTGACGGAAGATTCAGGTTATCAGCTGAAATTTCCTGCAGACTTCAACACATTGAAACTGGTTCACTGCTATATGTTCCAAGCATTCCTGTGATGTTTCATTTCAGTATCTTTCAAATTTTTTAAAAACCTTCTTGTAACATTGAACGGAGTACCCTGGGACACAAAATGTAACTCCAGTGTCAGCCCCCAACTCAGTCTGTGTCCAAAGTGAAAGTGGACGGAATGACCATTTAAAATGAAGGACTTGCTCCAAATTCCCATTGGAATGCATTACCCCGAAAGTGCCCGTTTCAGTTACTTAGAGGGACTGAGAGCTCATCTGAACTTTCTTACCGGCCACAAACTGCAGGACGCCAGCAATTTTGTACAAGTTGGCAAAGCGTTTCCCCTTGAAGAGTGCAATGATTGCCAAGACGAGGCCGATGACGGTGAGAAGGAGGGCCATTATTGTCAACGCCTGGCATGCTGACAGCCAGCCTACAGGAGGAAAACAAGGTCAAATATGAGTCCTGAGCGTGACCAGGAGAGGGAACAACTTTCTCAGCAACGGCAGCTCCTTCGGTGGTGACTACGTTTCACTGGTTCACGAACAGCTATGAAATGCATGTGTTGTAGTGGCTTAGCTACCAACACAAATGAACACTCCCTACCAACATGGCTCTTTTCAACCAATGAGGGGGTGCTTCTGCTCAGGGCCAATAGTTGTGTACAGTTGACTCTCAATACAATATAGAGATGCTATGTTATAACAAAAATACTACAACAACAAACTCAAATTTGTCCCTTGCCTATGACAGGTGCGCCTTGGCATTTAATGTCCGAAGGCGTCTGAGTAGCTGGCAGTCCAGAAGGAAGGGTAGGAATAATCCGGGTTCCATTGTAGCATTCGTTCCACAAGCCCTGGTGGAAACCGGCCGCAGTGATCCATGTCTACGCAGGGGAGAGGGGGAAAAAAAAAAAGCACTCAATTAAGCCAAGAAACCATTTCCGAATTTTGAATGCAATTCCCACTTGGCATTTTCTCAAAGATTTCAAGTGGGAACTACATTGTTTATTTGGTGTCAATGATTTTTTTGGTTTAGTGAGCATTTGGAAAGAATGAGTTATTATATTCATCGAAAACATGTCAAACTGTCTAGAAAAAATACTTTCAGAGAAGAAGCCACTCGCTAGCAGAACATTAAGCTCTGGTGGCAATTTTCTAGTCTGGCTTGTGCCAGCATCATATCATAACTTAAAAATAATGTTTGAATATGAACATGACAGTAGTAGTTTAGCTTTTAGGGTTACATGAAATACAGGAAAAATTCAGTCTACTGCCTCTGCATGCATGAAGCCTAATGTAGGCCTACAACTTGTATTGTAAGCCTACATCATTATGTTAGACCTAGCCTGCATTAGCAGTGAAACTCTATAGAAGTAGGCCTGCTTAAGTTTTATGATTAGCCAGAAAGTTGACTTTGTCCTTCTCAGATAGGCCTAAGTTTAATTTTTTTCTTCTTTTAAAGACCATATTCAACAATGACAACTACTGCTTTACGCACATTGTTTGCCAAAACGGCGATCATAACAGCCACGCAAATCACTATAAGAATCACAGCGATGACTTTGAAGGGACGCACGACCTGCGTCGAGGATGTCACCACCGTCGTCGAGTCGTCCATGGCTAGGCGTTGAATTTTCGCGATTAGTCCAGTCGGTGAACACGATCAGTCCTTTCTATGGGGCACACACATGCCTCTCTGGGCGGCAACAGAAGCTGTCAGGCGAAAGCCGAGGTAAATTTCGAGAAAATGGAGTTACTTGTTTGCTGAATTTGTACAACATTCCATTCCCGTGTGCTGTCAAATTTCCGTCTAAATTCACGTCTTTGAGCTGGGGTCAAATAGGTCAATGCAAACAATTTTGCGGGTAGCGTCACTGGTTTTCGTATTTTTAAGATAGATTTCTGCACAAAAATGCCGGGTACCCGTCAATGACAATTGGAGCGGTGAGATTGTCTAGAGGGCGGTATATGAAGTTTACGATTGACTTTTTTGGTACTACGCGGTGCTTGTTTGCTTTGACCCAGGGACATCAGTGAAACTTGGTTTTATAATGATTTTTGTTTGATAAATTGCTGTTTGTAAAAAATGCATTAATGAAAACAGAGTTATAGACCACAAGAAGTTACATGCGGATTTCTCGAAGTTTCAAATAATGAACAAGTTGTGACAAAGTGGCATTTTATAGGCAGTATTTTGTTGACGGCAATGTGGATACTGAACTGTGGCACTGAGTTTACTTCAAGATCTTTAATCATGGACAGCTGAAGTACTGAGATGGGAGAAGGGGTGGAATTTCATTTCATTTATGTTGCAGGATATACTTGACCGTATAGATGCAAAAAGAAACACGGTTTCTGCCGAGGGGCTCTTCACCCGAGTAGGAAACACTAAAACCATAAGCCCAGAGGAAGAATTGTTCATGAGTAAAATTATAGCAAATCCTAATTGAATATAACGAGTAAAACAGTCACATCACAAAATTGGGAAATAAAGGGGTTGGGGCGCGGGTTAGCGTAGCGGTTCTTTCCTCGCTTTGCATCAATGAGGCCCAGGTCTAGGCTTGATTTGATTTCCAGTCATAGTACTCGATTGCTCTCGCAGGTTTTCCCTAGATCATACTCCGGTTTCCTCCTGCCTCTAAAACTGGACCTTCTTCTTAAGTCCGTAATATGATGCTGATTAATAAAGGTTATGAATAAACGTGTAGCAAATAGCCTGAGTAGCTGAAAGCGCCATCAAACAAACAATATGCGGACAGGGTTTTTAAATACCGTTGGCAACTATCAAATCGAAACCTAACTTATTCATGATTGCCACCTTCTGATGTGACTGAGACTCAAGGTGCCTGGATCTGACATCCGATCCTGGTACATGTATAAACTTTATCAATAGCCTTTGTCAAAGTTCAATGTGCCAAAATCGAAACGTCAGGCCTTTTTATTTAATATATTTATTTGGTATTTTCTGGTCACTCCAATACAGGGCCTTCGTTGAACGCCCTTCCAGAGGACATGTATTGTTATTTAGATTTAATAACAATGATTGCACAAAAGGTTTACTCAAGCCTATCCTAGGCTAGAAGAAGAAAAATGCCCCCTAACGTGACGTCATACGCAGGCCCTCATAATAAGAATCCCCAGTAGTGTATCAGTCGCCGTTTTTGTGTTCTTAAAGAGCATCCTCCAAGGAAACATGTTTTCTCTAATTTCATCTGTTTGAAATAAAAATTGAAGCATTCAAATCAAACACAGTGTCATTTCTCTCCAGAGCTCAACTACAACAAGCTAAAAAGGTTTTTTTCTTCTGTTTATGCCAAGATGCGAATTCTGCATGTAGATCGCGTCATTCGGAGAGAACGAGGGGAACCCTCCCCTTGAGTATGTTCGTAGTGGATACATCCTTGTGCATGCTAAACAACATGCATTGTTTGCGGCACTCACGAGGGTTTATCCACTGCTAACAGAGGGCGAGGGTTCACCTCGTTTTCTCCGAATGACGCAATCTTAAGTTAGAATTCGTATCTAGTTGGCATGAACAGGAAAAAGCCCTTTTTAGCTTGTTATAGTTGAGCTCTGAAGAAATATGACACTGCGTTCGATTTGGACACTTCCATATTTATTTGACAAGATAAAATCAGAGAAAACATGTTTTCCTTAGAGCTGCTCTTTAAAACAGAAAAAAACATGGACCAATCAATCAGAATAGCCCCCTCTAGCACGATGTACGACAATCTACAACGTCTCTTTCTGTCCTCCTCTGTCCCCCTTGGGATGCAATAGGAGCACATACTGTGATGCAGCGGAACCAGACTGAACTAGCCCAGCAACACGCCCGCGCATCCATCGCGCGCTCCACGCACGCGCCGCACAGCCAGCCGTACCGTACCGTACGCCTTCGCACTTCCGGTATTTTCGCCATCTTTTTGATCGATCGATCCCGCTTGAGGGAGGGAAAGCGATTGACTCACAAATTCCTTCCGTTTGGAGCGTTTCCGCAGAGTCATCCAGACCGCCAACGTCATCCTTGGATACCACTAGGATTTGGAGAATTTTTCCATGGGGTTCCTGTTGCCAGCGAGGATAAACTGAGGATAGTGGGGACAATTTGTCTGAGTTGACCCTCTGACGAAGACTTCACGGAGGTCAAAGTAAACAGCGTGACTGCCGGATATTTTACGCCGGTCAACAGGCCAGGCGCACCGGATCTTGAGTGGACACGCTACGCTATACGGACCAAGACAACCGCCTGACTTCTGAAAGAAAAGCATTTATAAGTAAGTGGGCTCTATACTATTCAAAAGTTGAAGGGCTAATCGGTATTTTGCGTCCAGTTTTTATTACTAGGCCTAAGTTAAGCCAGGCTAAGACAGGTAGGCCTAACTATCAGTAGGCCTAGTGACCGATTTTGATAGGCCTACTATCACATTCACAGTCGGTCACTGTGAATAGAGCCTAGGCCCATGTTGAATTTGAAAAAAAAGCCAGTTATGAATTTTAAACCGATCAAGTTTTGAAGACCAAAATTACGTATAACTATTTAAAGGAAGGATTACTATTAGGCCTTATCATTTTAGGCATGCTGAAAAAAATTGTAACCCTGGTAACATGGATGGTGGATAAAAAATATAAAGACATAGAATTTTTACATACTAGGATACATTCATGGCTTCCCCAGATATAATTGATGAAAGTGAAAGTTATTCCGATAACTGACATGGCTGATAAATTGTGGATGATAAACATCGCAGAACCGGATCATGGGCAGTTAGTCGTCTATCTTAACACATATTTGAGAATATTTACACCATGAAGATTTTTTTCCCTGTAAATTCCTAGTTGATGTGTCATGGATAAATAGTCAGTGAGCACGTAATCCACATTTTTTTCAAAATTAAATGACACAGACCTCGAAAATGTCTAGTTGCTTTAAAGACCTTGGAAAGAGTTCCATATATAGACAACACCAATTGATAACAAGTCTTAAAAAGTGAAATGTAGCTTAGAAAATTCTGAACCATTTCCTTAGAAAACCTTTATTTCAGACAAGTCTCATAGGTTTGTGCACAGGGGCATCAAGTGTTGTCAGTGTATATGGAACTCTTTCCTAGACCTTAATGAGTATTATCAATTTGAGATTGACAAATCATCAGGGACGGCTGACTTGGGTTGTTGAGGGATGATGGTGAGGATGATGACGAAAAGCATCTTTTCAGTGAGCCAGAACTTTCATGGATTGCCTTATTAGGTTTTTCTTTTTGCTTTTTAATTGTTGGGAATAAAAAGAAGTAAAACTTCCCTTGAGTCCTCCGAGTATTGTTTGCAGCATGCAATGTACATGTATGTCGGCACTGTAAGTTAATAACATTTGGTGATAACCGTAAGATATTTTGCTCCATTGGACTAGAACTTGTACACATTTGATGTCTGCAGAAGTACATGTATATACCGGTGTGATGTACATGTACATTGTCTGGAAGATGTGTGTTGCATGGAGAAGGAACGGTTGAAGTAAGTCAAGATCTTGGGAGGGGAAGCGTCTGGGCCCCCCCCCTGCAAGAAGGCAGTGGTCAACCCTACAGTGTAAATGGTTCTTCATTCCAAAATTCCATGACTCGGCCCGATGGGCCTTCCCAACCCCACCCCCAGACGCCCATCCCTAGGAGGTTATTAAGTCTTTTGTAGGGACTATTGAATTAAATTCTAATTGGATTGTACGGGTAGGAGGGACTCTTAATCCTCCCTTGAGGAAGGAGCCAGGTAAACAGGAGGACCTAATGATGCTGCGCTGTGGCAGACATTATTTGGAACATCTTAGTGCCTGTGTTTAGCAGGTGTTGATTTTTTTGTTGTGTAAATTACTAAATGTGACCCCTGTAACTGTTTACAGCTATGGTAATAACAGATTTGGCTACATGTAGTTCATGAAGGCCAACAAAATCAAATTATCCAATGTGTACTTGTTCTGCCTTGTTCTTGAGTGGGCGTGTTTGACATTTCATTGGTGTGTATTATTTCAAGCTGGTGCTCCAGTCTCCTTTTGACTAAAGAGGTTTATAAATAGATTCCAAAAATATCCAGCATGTGCTTTATTTTGCAGGTCTGGCAAATGTCATTGTGCACTGTAACATAAACAGTCTAGTACATGTAGGGGTACATGTACAGCACATTGGGAGGTGGTGCCATCCTGTTCAGAAAAAAAGTCATGTACATGTGTACTGGTAGTCAACTTTCTGTTTTAGATGCTGTGCTACTTACAAGTCCAATTCCTTTTAGCAGTGACTTCTCTTAGGATTTTACAGAGGAATAAATCTTACCGTGCCTTGCCTGCCCGTATAGAGGGATCCCAATACGACGCTTTTAGCGTCGATCTGCGCACTTCCGCGTTTGAAAACGAGGCTGTATGTGCCAGCTTCAATTCTTAATACGATCAGATGATTGAAAGTAAGAAGTCAAGACACAAAATACATAAAGGTATGTTAAATTCAGACTTTTCAGGCTGAAAAGTTTTGTGGAAGAGTCTTTCAGGATGACTTGACGCGTAAAATCAAAAAGAAAAAATAACGACAATTGACCGCAAACTAACATACCTGCGATGGTCCTTTATCTTGTGCAGTGGGCGTGGTTTAAACTGAAGTGGTGTCACACTTACGAACCGGATACTGCATGTACTGTGTCGACTCCACGGGCGCTCGCGACGAAGTTAAACACAGAGAGCCTCGGTTTCGATGCAGATATGCGCAGACAGCGCTAATATGAAAATCCATCTATTGCCTTTCAGGTGCATGTAAAGAATGGTTAGGGCTAATCCTAACCATCCTCGGTCCTTCAAAATCCTCCGGGCGGTTTTGGAGAATTTCGGAGGACTGAGGGTGTGTCCTAGCCAAAAGGACCTAGGCGGTTGGGGTCAATGTCATGATAGAAGTGTTTCTGAAGGAAAACATTGTATTTGTACAGTGGAGATACTTGTCGATTCTGAATACTTAGTAGTAGGTACTGAATGTGATTCATGGTGCATGTATTTCGACAGCCTTGCTCGGCATTCTTGAGTGTGTGGCATTTGCAGTCAACTTGCGATTACTCAGCGTTTCAATCTATCTATCTGCAGAGCATGACCGATGTAAATACATTTTCTCTGTGAAATATGGTTTTATAATCAGACCGGAGATACCGTACATTGTATGATTGATAACTTGGGCTGTGCTGCCTTCTTTGTCTATCAACTGCCATAGCTCAGCATTATGTTAGACATCTCTGGTTGGAATCTCTCGTTGTTAATTCGTTTTGAATGTCTTAGGCCATGTGCAAGTTACCCGGTACACAACGGGGAAGGGAAATCATAAAGGGAAATATATACTTCAAATTGAAACTTAAATTTCAGCGTTTCAGTTCCTCCTGAAGTGTGTTGGAGATCTTCATTATCTCACAACAAAACCTTCTTTATGCTTTTGAAAAAAATGTTCTTTCTTCACAAGGGTTGTATCTTGCATTTTCTTGTGTGTACAAAACAGTGTTCCTCTGGAAAAATTTTTTTCTCTTCAATTTAAAATGTAACATCTGAATTTTTGTAAACAGATAAACCACAATCCCTTTGTATGGAAATACCCTGGTACATTCAGTTGTTGTATACTGACTTTATATTCCACTCATTTCATCTTTTTTTCCAGTTTGTGTCCATAGAGAAACCTTTACAAAATGTACATGTATATCAAAATCTTCAATATATTTACAGCGACCAGTGACTGCATGTCTGGTACAGCGAGGACCTCAAGCATTATCCTAATAGACTGGTTCTACCTATATGTGTGTGAAAGGTTTAAGGTTCTGTTTATGGCAAGTTACGGTACATGTACGTGCACATGCAGGATTGCAGGTACATGTAAGTGTCACGCAGTTGCATGAATGAACATAGCTAAGAATTCAGCGCTGTTTGTACATGCACAGTGCAGTATTCAACTTTGCACTACTGGATATAATATACTGGTACAGTCATATACAGAATGCAATAAGGATAATTTGCTGATTTTATCGTGTTTGCAAATGTACACATAAGGTCACCGGTTATCTCTGGTAACCTTTGTGACATCTTTAAATTTGGTTCTTTCACTTTTCTTTTGGAAACTTCCTTTTGTCACGACAGATATACGGACATGAGTTATGTACTGGTACATGTATCCATATGGTATGTTTGTGAGTGCCGTGTTTTTGAAATTATTTTTTTTTTAAACATGGCACTGTAGAAATTTTTTTTAAGACGTGCATTGTTTGTGCTGGATTCCGCACCAGTTTATGCCTTCCAATTGTATACATGCCATTATGTGGGATAGTCTTTAGATACACCTGTACATGTAATCATGAAAACTTGATAGCACTCTGTCTTGTCGGCATTGTTTACATTTAAGTAGGTTATCCTACATGCATTTGGAAATGTGCCCCCTATTTCCCCATAGACCCTTTTCTCTGCATCCACACATTGAGAGGGGGTCTGGTTTCTCACCACCCAAAAGGCCTGTGAGTGTGTGTTTGCATACATGGCCTAGGTACTGTACATGTGCATGTCTAAGCGAATTCAATCAGTCTACGGTATGGAGGAGCTATTGACTTGCAAGGCTCCCTGTGATTACTTAATGACGTGCCAATTTATGAATGTTGAATCGGTCAACTTCTTTTTTTTTTATCAAAGGCCATCTCTTTCCATGCTTCTCTAGTAAGCCTGGGAGAGTTGATAAGAACAACAACTGCAGGGGCTCCCAAAATGACATAATCAGCATACCAGATAAAGAAAAAAAAAATGTTGCTGCTGCTCCTTTGTCTGTGGGCGATGGAGCTTGCTGGCAGGGCTGTGGCTGATGCCCACGACAACAGGAAGATATCAATTTCTTTTGTTTGAAGGACTAATGACTGAAAAGGCGACAGTTATAAAGTGCACTAGGGGTCAGGCTTTTGCTGAGCTCTGACAAGCAAAAGGCAAGTTTCAAAGGAATTAATGTCTTCCAAAATCTGAATGAAACAAAGGAAAATACATGCAGTTATATTTTCCTCCATGTAGAACGAAGCCCTTTTGAAAGTCTCCTAAAAGTAGACAGTATGTACATGTACCGGTACATGTATGCTTTACTTTAGTTTAGATGCAATAGAACTTTGTGCAGCGATTTCATTTTTGAAAAAGAGTTGCAGGTACACGTACACTAGTATTTGACCACGGTGATTTGACTGAATAGCACTTGAAATTTGCTGTTGAGTAGACCATTTGGATTTTTATAATAGAGTAAAAGTT